CTCACCCCAAAGGATAAATAGCAAAATATGACTGTTTTTCTCTTACTATTCCAATGTATTTTTGTTCCGTTCCTGGATTCATGGCCCAGGGAAATTTGGTCAGCAAAAGAGCCTTAATGGGTGAATTGCCCCCTTCTCTTTTATATGTGACTATTCATTCTTTCTCAGCCTCCCCTCCCCAGGGCTTCTGAATACAAAGTACTTGTAGAAATCATTTAGTCTATTGCTGAAACACAAGCCCTGAGCCAGCAGGTACACAGGACTGCTGGATCATCTCATTCCATCAGTTAAATTAAAAATCTGAATCCAGTTGATGGTGGGGTTCAGCAAGCTCTCATTTAGAGAGGATACCCAGGGCCTTCTGCTGTAAAGCTTTGAAGGGGAAGATGATCACTTTACCCTTGCTGCAGTGTCTGAGTCACCACTGAGTTGGAAGCAACTGTTTAAAAAAAAAAAAATAGCCTTTTTTAGTGAGACTACAAAGTTGGCAGCCAAGCAGGCACACAGCATTGGATGTCTCACTGCCAGGCTTGTGACAGAGCTGACCTGCCTGGATGCCAGCAGAGAGGTGGTAGCAGAGCGTGCCAGTGCCCGGGAGTTGTTCAGCAATGCAGAGACTGGAGCAGAGAAGCTTCAGAGAGGTTCAGAGGTGGCCCCAACCCCATATCAAGAGCAAATATTTCCTGCATAGCAGTGTCACTGCAGCATCACTTGTCCACCTACAGGGATGTTTCGCTGTCATTGAAGTAACTGGGACACACACCAGGGACACATTTTAGCTGGCTTCTCTGCTTTTTCAGTTCTCATCCTCCACTCTTTGGCCAAGGCAAAAGGTCTCAGCTACCTCATTACTACTACTATCACTTATCTGTACATCAATTATAATTAAGACTTCATGCCAAGTTACACTAGTTTTAATGTGAAATCCTGCAAGATTTGTCCTTGTGACTTTTAACTGGTCTAGCCTTGATTTATTTAAACTACTTTTCCCATTAAAGAGATGATCAAGTGCTTGCGCCAAAAGATGTTGGTGCAGATATAGAACTATGACTGATGCTTTATGCCTCCTGGAAGCAAGGCTTTCTTTACAGAAGCATTAACATCATAGCAATCACACATACTTCATTTAGCTTGGGTTCAGGTTCCTCTGTAAAACAAACTGGAATGACCTGAAAAGCAGGGGAAAAAATTCTTCCTACTCCAGCCCTCCCCCAAATCTTTTTGTGGAAAACATAACAGTGTTTTCAATGCTAAAATTCACACAGATTTAAAAATACTTATCTTCAAGGAATGTTGCCATGGAAACCCTTATCTTGTCTCCTTCTCCACCCTCCATATGTGAAGAACACTTTCTTCATCTTTTTTTCTTTCATGTGGTAGTTCCTCTTCTCTGCTACCACCAAAACCCTGGCATTGAATCCTAAGAGATGTCAAACAGGCCTTTTGTCTACTTGAAAAGTGATTGCTAAAATCCACTCCTGAGTTGAACTACAGAGAGGTGTCAAGATGGGATCATACCCTCAGGCTCCAGAAAACGATGCCTGGAATATTTTCCAGCAATTCTTGTTTTGCACAAGTGGAAAGAAGCAGCAAGAGCTGCCATTGTAATTAAAACAGTTTCACTTCTCGGTGGCATAACCCACAAGTGATGATGATTTTCCTTCTCAGTACAAGTCTTTTTCCACCTTCCTTGCCACTTTTGACAAAAGGGGTTGGGAGGCGGGTGAGGTCCTGTATGTTCAAAGTGCTTTCCTGAAGGTAGTACTGCTCTACCCCATTCTTTTTGCCCCAAAGCTACAAAAGGATCTGAGCACAAAAAGGAAGTCAATAAGCTACAGGCTTCACTGTGCTGATCAAGATATGTCTGTATGCAATGGTCAGTGTCAGGGAGCCCCTTCCATAGAATTAGCAGAAACTTTGGGCAGGTCACACATGGCACTGTACAGGTATCTCCCGCTGTCAGTGGGGAACATGTACAAAGAAGTAGTGAGAAAGCAATGTTGCTGACCTGTGAGTTAAAGCAGCACCAAAATGTTCACCAGCAAACTATGCAGGTGAGAGACAGTGTTTTCCCAATTTGGATTGCCAGCAGCCTCAGGTTCACATAATTGCACAGCTAATGGGGGAGCTGGCACGAGAGCTGCCCAAGGTATTTTAAATCAGCAAGCATCCACTCTGCCCAATAACCAACATTTACTTTTGCAGCAAGTAGGACAGAAGTTGCCAAGACCATCCTTCCCATTTAATGATGGAAAATAAAACATGCAGCCTGCAAACCTGTGCTGCATGCCACAGCCATTACCAGCAAGTTCTTAAACTGCTGGGAACAGAAGAATATTAATAATGTACAATAGTGCCTCTCTATGTAGCCCAGGTTAATTAAAATGTAGAGGTAACACCATTCATGGATATTTGGGAGGCAGTGGGAGGATAGCTCAGTAAGCTGTCTGCTCTGCTCAGAGCTGTGTTGACTGTCTCACCAGATGCCACCAATACAAGGGGCAAAAGTAAAAGGCTGTGCCAGCCATAAACAGCCCATTAGGGATGGCCTGACTGCTCCCACCACCTGCACTGGCTGCCTGCTGCTGAGGGCAGCAGGTTGCACAGGCACAGGGATATATTCAGCATCTTACTTCTGTGAGTTTGCAGCTCTCTGTAGAAACCTGTTCTACGGTAAGAGTCCAAGGAATGAAATGACAGCTTTTCTGTATGCTTTTCAAAACCACCTGTTGAATTTGTGAAGCAGCTTGCTGGTGTAGAGCAGGAATATGAAGCATAAAAAGAAATTATTCCCTGTCTTAGAGAAGCAATCCCTCCCCCTTGGCTTTCTTCCTAGACCAAGGCATTTTTTCCCACAGGTTGCAATGCTTGCCCACATGTCAATGTTACAATCAGAAGGGATCTCTGGGCTTTAGATGTGTCCTTAGTGCATGGGTCTGAGCAGCAGGACTGACAAAACCCTGTTCTTTACTGACTGGACTCCTGAGACTGGCTATCTGCTACAGTGCAGGCGCTGACTCAGGCTTTTCCCCAGGCCAGCATCTAACAATGCTTCGGCTTTGACTGCAATCTTGTGACACATCTAGCATAGACTCCCTATGTCCAGACACCTTTCTCTTTTTTTTTTTCCCCACAAAATTTGCAGGAACACAACAGTGTTGACATTTCATACTCTGATCTCTGTCAAATGCAGCTGATTTGGCCCAAGGCTCAGAAGTTACTTCTTGTGAGAAGAGAACGGAGAAAATGGCCAAACATAAGCGGGAAGGGGGAACACTCTATGAACACAAGTCTTCCTTAGGAAGCCAGGCCAAACAAGAACCAGCTGATAGCACATGCTGGACAAGGGGTGAGGGCAGAAATTGGAGAAAACTGGTATTTCAATCTTCAAATCAAAATAGATTAAAACTTCATGAGAAAGCTCCAATCCATGAACGTTCTCATACAAAAAAAGAAGGTTTGCTGCACAAGGGTCCACAGCTGGGCTAAAATCTTTGTAGTTAAGCTGTTTGAAATGGCTGACACACATAGAGTGAAGAACAGAAACTTACAGACTGCAGCAAACAATGTGGCTGTGACCTCAGTGTCCCAGCAGTGCATAACAAACGCTTGAGAGCACCTCACCCGCCTCCTTTCCCTCCATGCTCAACACATTTCCTTAACTGATGAGTCAGGGTGCTTTTTTGACAGTTTTGAGCAAACACAAACTGATCACTGGCTTTCTCCAGCACACTGGGCCACATTCTTCTCCTGTATCAGTCATGGACTCCTGTAGCATGCTTGATCACTGGCCCAGATAGACTCTGTGGGTGGAGGCTGATGGAAAATTCATAACAAATTATATGGAATCACTCCCATTTCTGATTCCTGTAACTGGGGAAGGGTTGTTGCGAGGCAGTTGGCTTGAACAGCTCCAGCAAGGCAGAGAAATGCTGTAACAGAAGTCTGGACAATTACATTTGGGAAGCTTTTCTAGTGTCCAAAAGCTTCACTCCTATGACACAGCTAAAAGAAAGCAGATTTCTGCCACACAATTATATTCCTTGTCCAGTTCCTAGCAGGGACAATGTTATCCTACCATATTTTCCCAAGAAGGCAATACCTTGACCTCTGTTTTACCTCCTCTGCACACCAAGGATGATTTAAACTAAAATCCTTTATCATGCTGATTTCTCCAGGTGGTTTAGGAAACATCTGCAACCTTCAAGAAAAATAGGCCTGTTTGCATAAGCAGTGAAGCAAAGCCTAACACGAATTGCTATCTGGGGACATGACCAACCTTGAGTTAAGTGGAGGTCAGATTAGCAAGAGCTTTCTTGCAGTTCATTATAAAAATCAATGCAAGAGAGGCACAAGCTGAACTGCACAACCCTCCTTTTTCTGCCCAGCATCTCTGTGTCACCTCTCCCCTAATAGAAGCTACACTGAGGGGGATCTGAATCTCTACAGCTCGACCAAAAGCAGAGCTGACAAGTTAAACCCAAGAGCAGAATTTTCTTTGTCTTGTGCCCACAGAGGCTGGCATCAGATGTTAACTCCATAAGAGCTGACAGGACTGCATTCAGGCTGGCACTCGGCAGCAATACAGGAGCAAGAACATTTTTACAAGACCAGCAGATTTCCTGGTGATCCTGTGTAAGCAAGAAAAGGGAGAAACACGACCTGAAAAGGAAGTCAGATGGCAATTAATCCAATGTGATGATGGAGGAAGAGGTTCCTGCTTCACAGCCTTTTCAGTGGCACTCTGAAAAATCTTTCAGGAGCTGTCCTGTGATGGACAAAAGAAAAAGAAAGAAGTAGGGAAAAGCATGTGAACATGCAGCACTTGATGCTGCTTTGGCTGGCACCCATTTTGGAGGAGGAAAAAGATTCTTTGAAAGGCTTTTAAGTTATTAAGTACAACATTAATCTAGAGCTCTATAAAATCAGCACTCTGCTTTTCCAGCATTTGTATGATCAATCTCAGGCTGACCCAGTGCTGAATGAACTGAAAGCATCTGTCAACTTCTGATGTAGATTATATTAGACACTGCCCTCAGAACTTTCAGGATAGAGAATCCCTTTCTCAGGGCTTTGTTCTATGGTTTTATTTAATTTCATTATATTATTACTGATACTTCTGTTTTCTCAGGGGCCAAATCAATTTTATTCCTCTTGGTTTACTAGCATTTCTCAGTCATTCTTTCTCTTGCAACCCCACAGCATGCCAAGATTATACAGCAAGAGAACTGGTGCAATTCCCACCCCACTTTATTTCTCTCTTTCTCTCTCACACTCACACATACTTCTCACAAGATGTATCTGCTCTTCTTGACAGTTATAGATATAGCTCAAGGGAAGGAAAGACACTTTGAATAAAAATACCTATATATAGAGAAAGGCTTTGTCCTTGTGTCTCCAAGATCTTATCTAGTTAGGATCCATGAAGAAGCATTCCACTGGATAACAGAGGCACTCTTATCCAGCTCTGGTTGCTATTGGAAAGGGGCTGGTCTTTGACTAGCTGATACCCAATAGTTCATACATATATCACTGAAAGGTTTTGTTGCTTCCTCTGCAATGATTTGGCCAGAAATCCAAAAGCAAATGTAAAAAAGGCATACAGATTAAATCTACTTTAATATGACTACTGGTTGAGTTAGAAAAAGTACCCAAGATAGGCATGTGCTTAAGAATGTGGAAGGTAAAAAAAACTGGATGTAAAATTCCTTGGCTGAGTCAACATGGTGCCAGCACGATTCTCCTTAAGACCCTTGCTCAGAACTTCACTATTGGCACTTTCAAACCCTTCTTTTGTTTCCTCTTAGCTTCTCTTGGACACCGTTATCCAGGCTTCCTCCTTTGGTGAGGTTACCAGTTCATATTTTGTCTCCATGACTTGTCCTTTCACTGGGTGGAGATACAGTTTCCTTACCAGCACACTCAGCAGGACTGTAGTCACTAGATAGGCAAACCTGAGGGAAGAATCAGGAGAAAAGAATAAAAACCTTGCTATGATGTAAATGTGTCAAAGGACAACAGCTAGCTTGGACAGGTTGTCCCAGCAGTACCAGGAAGATGCTGAAAGCACCTCCTCTCCTGTTCTGCCAGAGAGACTCACAAAGACCCCCTTTCCTATGCTCACCTCAGCTCCGGGCACTCCTGGCTTCCTGAAAAACCCAACAAGGACAGGTTTTTCATGGCTGATTCCTCATTGAATCTCTCTGGGTCAAACCTATGAAAAACAAAATACACTAAGGCTTTCTGTTCAGGCACAGCACCCTTTTCCCATAAACATGGGCACACACTCGAGTAAGAAACTGGCAACAAAATACAGAATCTCACTAATTTGCTCTCTCTAAATTGTGCTGCGTAATTCCACACAAACATATGAAGCCAATTGTGCATCCACTCCATTAATGTTCCCAGCTGGTCAGCTGTGTCCCATCTTGGTCAAAATGCTGACAAACTCAGTTAGTGTGAGACAGGGCTGGAACTAACGTGCATTACCCCTCAGCAGTGGGTATTTAGCTTGAGTACACAGCTGAGCTAATGCCGCTACCTGCCCTCTATTCCCCTCCAGGGCACACGCAATCTCATTTGCCTCCCTCCCTCTGTCCCTCCGAGTCCCTTCCTTTTTCACTTCCAAAAATATTTCCCTTTTCTCCTTGCCTCTCACACTTCTCTTCAAGCAGCTGGTGTGTGTATGTGTATGTGCTGGGGGAGGGAAGACGGTGACTCATTCAAGTGAGAAAAATGGTTTCCAGCTTTAGGATGGTAGAAGCTGTAAGAAAACTATTATCCAGGGCTGGCATGAGTTAAAACAAGGGAGACTAACAAAATATAATTCAATTTAAATGTTACAAAAAAAACACCTCCAAACAGAAAATTTGATGGATGGATGGATAGATGGATGGATGGAAGACAGTTCTTTCCCTTTCTGCTAAACCTTTCTGCTTAATTCTTCAAGCCTTTATTTCCCTGCCTAAACATCCAAGCTCTGCTTCTAACAAGGTGAAAGGGCATGTGGGTGCTGACCCTCAGGAAAAGCAGCATCAAACTTACATTCCTCCTGAAGTGGCAAATTACAGATATAATAGGAGAGAAAATGGAGCTGCCTAGCAAATAAATACGGAGGGCAAACAGCTATGCACAGTGTTTCTGTACAGTAGATAGGTGAAAGCATCACACAGAGCTGATCTCCTGTCTCTGTCACAGAAATACACATCTACTTCAGGCTCAACCCCAGTCTTCCTGGAATAAACACAATGTTTATAGCAGTCCTCACTGTCTCTCCCACGAGGCCTCAGCAAACCTAAACACTGTCGTGTCCTATCCTAGCAGGGAATGCCTGCCAAGGTGCTTGTAGAGTGGTGCATCAGTGCCTGAGCCTTTTCTAAGAGGTATACTCACAGCACCAGACAAGTGCTGTTCTAAAGGCTCTATTCCTTCTCCTAAATCTCGGCTGTCTTTTCTCTCTGTCTAGAATAACTGACCCACATTTTTTCCCAGCCCAAGTGAAGTAAGTCAGATACACGTTAATATTTGCCACCTGGAGGCCACAGGAAGCTACAGCAATTTTTTTCTTTAACCTCCAAAACACTGGCCTGGATCCTGTTCTGTTTTCACAGACAGAAATAATGAGGCAGCATTTTCCTTCCCCCTGAAAAAACAAAAATTTCAGACTGACATTTCCTCTCTTGTATCATTGTTTCATGATGACAAGCAGTGATTCCAAAGCCATTCAAGTCACTGTTTCACAGAAAACCTTAAACAGAATTTACCAGCATTTTCCAGGGAAGCTCTTTGTGTGTGCACAAAAAAAGTTTTTATTAAACTCTAATGCACACACACACACAGGCAGACTGGAGCATGGGAGGATCATGGCTTTAATTGCTCCGAAAGCATATCCATGGAGAAAACCAAACCAAAACCTTAATAAACTGATTTTCTTACACTGCCTTTCATCTCCAAAATCTGCTTAAGGCAGGCCCTGCAGCCTAAAAGGCTGTGCTTTAAGATCTAATTTAAAAAAGGAAAGGAATTAGTTGCAATAAGTTGATTCTACATACTTGTATGGTGATGGCCAAGATGAACTATCCTGCAGCATCACACCAAGAGCATAAAGCACAAGTGTCTGCAAAGAAAATTATGACATTTATGTCAAAGCAGAAAGAAATGCACAATTAAAGACACCTCTGGACAGCTCTGCTGGATGATGATTACTTTGTAGACTACTCATATTTAGGTGGATTAAAAAGACAATTATGCTATATTCATCTACAGATTTCCATAATCCATGCCCAGATGTTAGGATTTTAACTTCTAAGAATCATGCTGTGACTGTTAGTGGTTACAGAGGGTCTGACCCCATTTCTCTGCTCTTGCTAGTGTGTATGTATGGGCTACTTTATTCTCTGCAATGGAAGGTGATATGATGAGTGATATGATCAGGCCTTAAACAATGTTCTTTCATGCACAACTGAGCCTATAAGCCCCTTCAAAAGATTACTCATCTCTGATAGACCCAGAACTGGAAGCAAATCTGCTCAGCAAGAGAACATGAATTCCCAGAGCCTCTCCTGCAGAGGAACTGCAGGCAAACTTTGAGCTAAACTGTACTTTCAGATAACAGAACAGCTACTCAGGTTGAACAGTTTCAGAAGAAACGGTCTTCCAGCCTCACCCCTAGTCGGGAAAAAGAGGAAACAGCAAACTCCCCCTACAGGAAAGGAGTGGCCTAGTGCTCCCAGCAGGGCCCTACCTCTTTGGGGATAGTGTGTTGGTCCACTCTGCCCTCCAGCTCCTGCAGCTGTGCAGCAATGGGAGTCAGCTTTGCTGTTCGCACTGTCTCACACAGGACTTGCCGACAGTACCTGCAACCAGTAACACTTGGTTAGTTTAACCCTCCCAGAGAGAAGCTTGTCCACATCCTTGTGGCAGCAAGGAGAGCTGAGTCACCTACTGTATTTTTTTCTGGCAAGGAGTCCCAGCTTTGCAAGAAGCACTAAATCTCATTAACAGCTTTTACGGAAGGTTATCGAAATCTCTCTTCTTTCAGATTTTAAACCAAACTAAAACTGCTAAAAAGCACAGACACACCAGCCCTTTTCCTGGTTCTCTCACCCATATAAGAAGCAGCAAGAAACCCACACATTTGATACTCCCTAACACTAGTCCAAAACCAAAATGCACCCAATTAAACCAACAGATGCACAAAAAATAAAGGCATGCTGTTGACTAGTCATCATCCAGTGGTCCTTTGAAAAGAAGATTAGTCCATGTTTTCTTTCTAAATATGTCGAACATGAATCTAACCAGGAAAATGACTGATTACTTCTACTTTTGGAAAACTAGGACAGAAACCAAACAAGACAGTTAAGCAAACAAATTTTGGCCTGGCAGCCAGGGCTTTCCTCTACCAATGAACCTAAAGGGCTTTCAAAAGACACCCTGAAATGAGCACCTTGGTCCCCATGTCTGGAGTCCTACAGCAGATTCTCTCTGTGTTGCAAGTCATCCTTTGGTTTGATCGCTTCCAGAAAAAAAAAGGGAGTAGCTTTTGGATGCCTTCTCCTGGCCCAGTGTAGGCTAGGCATCAGGTTCCATGTGAAACCCCTGTCCCACACCACATGACATAGCCTTCCTCTGCAGTTCCTTCTACAGGACTCACCTGAGCTGCTCAATTTTCTCAAGTGTAATTGGTCCCTTCCCCAGAATGCGGTCCACTTCCTTGTAGAGATTCTGCTGGACATCTTCTGAGGTTGTCAGGAAATAGACTGCCCAGGTACACACTGGGGAAGAAATCAAGACAAGACTGGACCCAGAATATTCAATCCTTTACAACCTGCATTCAGTTTTCTTACTTCCTGTATTTTCAACGTTACTTTCTGACCTAAAAAAGGGTGACCTCTGTTCACAGCAGGCTGTGCTGATTCTGTATTCAGTGGTAGGAACAGAGCTGAACTCCTGTGTAGTAAGAGACCCTGCAAGCTAAAATTCTCTTTCTGATGCTGTGAGGAGCTTAGGGAGCTGTGCAGGAGACTAAGTCATTCAGTCCCTCAGCTCTGGCAAAGGAACCATACAGATCAACAAGCCCTGGGGAATCAGGGTTATTAGACCAACCATGGAAATGAATTGGCACAGACAATGCCCGGGGCTCCTGACAAGGAACTCTCTGCAGCAGGTTGGTCAGCACTTGTCTCCACTACATCTCTTTTATGAAGTACTCAAGATATCTTCAACAGCAGAGTGAAAAAGAAACCTTGCATAAGAAATAAGTGTGTAGGATGTAAAGCTACAAAGAAATGTTTCTAGCACTCAAAAATGTCTGTCTGTGAGAACTATCTGGAATCCATGTGTATTCAAGCCCCTTAAAATGCAGTCTTCCTGGAGTACTTGCAGAGGATATTCCCTGAGGAAGAGTATTATCATAGTTGCCTAATTTATTTTACATTGTTTCACACCTAGATGCACCTCAGAGGTTTTCTTTGGAGTCCCAGCCCCACTGGCTGAGATACAGGGCCAGATAACCATCCCCTTATCATAAGACATTTTACACAGCTTCAGCTAGTATTTTTATTTGTATTTTTTTGCCACAGTCTTTGCACAAATCCCAGATTACTCCTTTGAATGTCCTCCATACATGAAACATACCTGTCCTCCAGAAATTCAAAGTGGCCAGGCAGATTCCAACATTCTACTATAATTTCTTTCCCATGTGCCAGAACCTATTTTACAACATGATCTTTGTGGGTTATACATTTTGATGCTTTTTCATCAAATGTAGCATCAGTTATCTGGGGTTAAGAGTGCAAGCAAAAAGCAATGGGAAGAAATTCCAAGGTTCACCAAAAGACTGGGAAGGCTGTCAAACACAGCTTGGTTTCAATTCAGTAGCTGTGAGGCTGTGTCAAGAGTCTGATGTAAAAATTAGCTTCTCCTATATGTTTGTAGTTCAGGAGAAAGAAAATGATGAATACAACTTTTTATTAGCCTAGGATAAGTCTCATGTCATCACACAGAGTTTTAGGCATCCAAGTGTAAGGATGGGAAGTTACCTACAATCTGTACTTACAGTTAGCAGTGATTATGCATCCTGCCAGGGTGAAAATCATTGTATCTTCCAGAATCTAGGAAATAAAATCTACTTCAGAGACTGAAGTTTGTAAGACTGTAAAGATAAAAAAGAAGTGGCACATTCTCCACTCAAGCACATGAAATCCCTTTAGTGCAAAGAGCAGGATATAAATCTAGAAGACATGGACTGAACTCTCTGTAGAAATTCCACTGGAATTGCACGTGAGACACGCTTAATATTAACATATTTCTGGTTTATAAAAATAGCTATGAAGCAGTGGTAAGGAAAGCTACCAAAGTCTAATGCAATTAAACATTGTAGGAGTGGAAAAAAGAACTAGAAATCCTGCTTTAGTAAAGAATCTGAGCCAAGATGCAATAACTTACACTAATCAAAGGCTACAATGTAATGAGTTGCCCATCTATCAAAACTCCATTACTGTGTAATGATATAACAGCTGCACAGACCTGCTGGTCACTCAGGCTCCCTTGCAGCAAGATGTCTACAAAGACATGCTTGTTGAATGATCTGCCTCGGCGCTCTTTTGTAACTTTCCTTAAGACGGATTCCATCTCCACCAGAGCTTTGGAACAAAAAAGAAATGTTTATTTTAAAATCTGGTCATACTGGTGCTGCAGAGAAGCAAATCCGTCTCCTCAAGCAGATTTTCAGACCAGCTGTCCCTGCTGGGCTCAGTTACAGAAGCAGCCTCTGTTACATGTTACTGTCAATCTGAAAGGCAGCATCTCCAATTTAGTTGAAAATGTAGAAATCAAATAGCACAGGTTGCCTGTAAAAAGCCATCCTTACAGGTATAACCAAGATGTGCACTCTATGAGCTGAAATCACTTAAGGGGAAGTCAAATCACAATGTTTAACCATCAGAGAATATGTTTAATCAGCCTCCATGAAAACATGTATGAGCCACATAACACTGGTTACCTGACCTGGAGGGCTATAATTACTACAGTACCACAGCACCTCCAGCCACTGATGGTGCCCCTTTTGCCAGAGGTTCTACAGGCATGGAGCAAGAGGATGGCTCTGTGCTAAAGAGTCTGCATAGGCAGAGAGAGGAGGGTGGGGAAAATGTGGGAGGGTTTTGGCACAACAAGTCCACACATCTGAAGTTGTCTGAGTGCCCAACTCCTGGTAACTATTGTGAGAACCAAGGGGAGTTAGGGACCTAGATGCCATTGGCTGCCTGATTTAAATGACCTACTGAAGACTATCCAAGAACAAGGAAACACTGAGTCTGGAGGATTTACAAGCAAATCCTTAGTTCCAGATCGAAGCTACTTTTGTTTAACATCTTATCAATCAATACTGAAAGGGTTTAATTATTAAGATCAAAAAAAGACAGGACAACCAAAAAATAAAATTACTTACTATAAAATATATGAGAAACAAAAGTACTGCCATAACAGACCTGAAAATCATGTTACCTTGTAAGAGCACATCAGAGGCTATCCCATGGAAAGTATCCCTCAAAGCAGCACCTCTGTACTTGTGTCCTCCAGCCTGTGAGTGACTGTCTGGCAGCGCATTCCCCAAAAGGTGCATCATATGGATGCCCACACAGGCCAAATCAAGTGGCTCCATCTCTCTCCACCTAGCACAGTTGCTTGCCTCCAAGAGAGGTCAAAAGTTGACACTAGGGAACAGAATAGGAAGGGAGCAAGCATACCCTGATACTTCACCTCTATCACTCTTCAGACTGGATAGACCCTAGAATTAGGCCTGGAACTAGAGTTCTAGTCCTACAAACTTCTCAAGTAATGGCAGGCTTGTCGCTCAACTCCAAAACAATGATCTTATGTGAGAGTAAGTACAACACATCTGGTAGCTTATGGCATGATGACCAATTCTGAAGAAAAGGCAAGACAGCTGGGCAAATTAAGTGCTTTCATAGACTAGCTAATTCCTAAGTATTAATCAGAGTGGGAGGAAAACTGTGATTTTGAGAGGAACCTACCATCTTCGTAGTGCTTCTTCCTAGTCATGTTTTTGTCAAGAGACCCATCCAAGAAACCTTTCCCAATCTCTGACCAGATCTGAAATGAGAGAGAGAACAGTACCATCACTCACCACAGGCTGACACTGCTGGGACTCTTCTATTCTTCCCTACTCAGGAAAATGAAAACACCAAATAAAATTGACTTCCCGTGAACAAGGAACTGGTCTTCTCTTTAGGACACCACGTCCCATTTCAGATACTACGTCTATTATAGCTGAACTTAAGTGGAAATGAAACAACTGTAATTACAGCTGTAGGGGAAAAAGGCATGGGAATCTTAAACGGGAGATGGAACTGTTTCTTTCCTGCCCTACCACCAGCAGATTTAACATCCTCATATGTGGGTACAGCTTGAGATCTCCTCAGATTTTGTCTTCTCCACGATGTCAGAGAGCCTTCAGAAGATCTTCAAAAATAAGTTCCACTGGCACTCCAAAGAGAGTTTAACTGACTTAGGTACCAAAGATCTCCCAACTGCCTTTGGATCCAGGTTCCTGATACTCATGGATCCTTTAGAAACAATTCCAACACTTCCAATCTTTCTAACTATTTTAGCTTGGGACAATTGAGGCAGAGCCCTCAAGCTCTTACCTTAAAGTCTCAGCAGTAGCTTGTACTAAACTGCACACACACACAAGCTCTGTGCTCTTAGTTTGGAAAAATATAATAGGAAATTTCCTGGCTCTTCATGACACTTACTGCATCATGGTGCCTGCGGAATCGGATGACTTCCCGGTCGTCTTCAAAGCTGCTGCCCATAGCTGTCTGCGTGACAGACTTCATGGCAAAGCCCAGCATGTGCTGGCAGAGTGGCACATGTTGTGACTCGGGAAGGGAGAGCCATTTGGCTAGCAGCTCTTCTGACAGCTTGAGAGGGAATGAACAATTAGTTAGAAGTAAGATCAGCAGTCTATTTACCAAACACCCCCTGGAGACATTCCCACCGTAAGGCAGCTCTGAAGGCAGACCACACTTTCACGGCTATGGCATGAAGCTACACTCTTTCCAGGCTTTTTTTCCCTTGTTAACCTAAACAGTAACATTTTAGCCTCAAATCTTCTGCCTCTTTCAAGGTTTTCTCCCAACAAGGCAGCCTTATCCTCCTCTCTTTTTCCATCTGTCACAAAAGAAACCTTAAACCCTTTAACACTAATAGCTCCAGATTGGGAAAACACATCATGTTCTGGATGCTGGACTAAATCAACAGAACAGTTCTTCACCTGCTTGTGGTCCCAATAGCTGGTTCCTTGCTCCTCCCTCCTGTCCTGGGAAATATATCTAGAATCAGGGTGCTGCAATATCTTTAACTGCATCTGGTATCTTGGCATAAAAAGGAACCAAGCTCAGCCCTTCCCCCTGGCCCATTGGAGCTAAGAGAAACCAAATATTCACACCATGCTTGAACAGGTAGGGGCTGTTTGCTGTCTCAGATGCTTATAGTTCCACCACTAATTGAAATGCAGGTCCTTTATCCTAGTGATCATCCTCATTAAACTTTCCCCCGTGAGACACACAGGGCTTCTCTGCTGTACAAAGGCAGTTATGCACCTTCTGGATGAGAGCAATGTTACTTTGCAAGGACTTGGTCACACCGTTTTCATACAGCTTTCTCCTCATGTGGCTCTCTCCTGTATCCCCATTCAGGCTGGACTGGTATCTCAAGAGGGACTTCAGCATTGTCTCAAAGGGATCCACTGAAAGCAAATAGAGGAAACACCATTCAAAAGTCACACTACACAGGGCTGATGAAAACAGCAACCTCTTTAATTGGGTGCTGCTACTTCTGGGCAGTGAGCAAGGCACAGCTCCTTCCCCTAGGAACACTCTCTTTGGGGTGTCAAGCTTCTCTTGCTCAGTGTGGGCTGGGACCTCATAAGGTCTCTTTTCTGGGGCAGGGTGCCATCCTGTGATCAGCTCTCCCAGCAGAGCTTGCCTGCTGGCTCTACTAAGTAACTCTTTAAGTAACAATGCCTTCAGAGCTTCTAGAATCCCAGTTTGCCAGTTCCCAGGTGGTTGTGCCATTGCCTTGGTGACAGGATTGAGTATAGCATGGTCCTTCCCCTTCTCCAGCCTGACCTGCAGCCCCTTTAGCACATTACCCCTTCACATCTGGTGTGCCCTCCTGCCGTGATCAAGGCTGTGCACTCAGGATATATCAGCTCACATGAGAGATGTAGCCAGAGGCTGCTCTCTGCACTCCTTCCATTGCTTCACAGCCCCAGAAAAACTTATTTGATACTCTACTCTTCCTCCATGATTTCTCTCACATGCACCAAGTTCCCTGCTGATGAGCTCTTCCCAAACCAGCAGCTGCCTCTCTGTCAGGGCTGCCTCCAGCAGAGAAGCTCTGAAGCTCTTACAGAAAACAGTACCCCAGTAAGCTATAGAATGCTTTCTACTGCTAATTGCCTTCTTTCCATCTTCCTTCCACACAGACACTTGCAACAGTGTACAAACTAGACAAAACCACATAACTTCCATATCCATGACTCACTTCAGTTAGATTTTTAGCTTCGAATTTCACCACTAGGGACTTCTATTTAATATATTTGCTAAAGTGGTGCAAAAAAGCATGGCATATGTTTTTCCCTTTCTGTAAACCTTTCAGTGGGTCTTGCAGAACTGGCAGAATCTTTAAGGAACTATTTGGAAGCAGCAATCAGGGTTTTCAAGAGGGATATTGTCACTGTTTATCACAGTCTTATTTCTCCCAGATGGAGAGTGAAACCTCTGAGGCATCAGAAAACATCAAGGCTGGGCTAGACACATATGACTCTCCCAGCTGTGGATGTATCTAGGATTCCCTGCAGAGATCATTATGCCACTGGACAAACATACAAGAGACAATTCCACCTGCAGAGGACTTACTACCTAATGGCATAAAAGCAGCTAACAAGGCCAGAGGCATGAATATGGTAATCTTTCCTAAATGTTTTTCTCTCACATCTTTTCCCTTCCAATGTTTTTAAGCTCTGGATCTCACCCTCTTTCCCACTTAGAATTACAAGGAGTATGAGCATGTGTCTTTTGGCACAGCAGATGGTACCTGTGGCTCTCCACGTGGAGCAGGCTGTTATGTGACTCTAGCTGCTGCTGACAATTCCTCCTCCAAGGTACTTTGTCATGGACTGGCTGCTGCTATTCATGCCATAGTTCCCTGCCGACTGGCCTTGGCAGAGCTTGGCACAACGCTGGGTAGCCAGAAAGACAGATGGCAGGTGGTAAAGCCCACACAGCAAATCCAGAAAGCAGAGGCATCTAGAGAGGCTGGAGGATGCTTAACACCAACACCTGCTGGAACTGCAAAGTTTTCCTGGTGCATATGAGAGCAAGCTGCTGGATCAGCCACAGGCTCCGTTTTTTCCTCCCCTTGTCCTTAGTCCAAACTGGCAGTCCCACACAAGTGATACACTCACTGCTGTGCTCTCAGGGCTGCAGCACCCAGGTTGCCCTCTGCTGAGGGCTGGCTCTGCACCATTTGGGAAATGGCCATTTCTCCACAGCTGCGGGAGGCCAGTGACTCCACAAGGCACAAACTGTCTCTGGAGAGAGCTCTGTTCTGCCAGCACTTTCACAGACTTCTTCCTTTCTCCTTGTCTTGAAAATATCTCCAGGGTTACATTTTCAGTCCTCTGAGTGAAACATATAAAAATTTTGATTGATCCATTCATTTACAAGGAAGTCTTCTCCCTCATCCCAAGAACCTCAGAGTGCTGTCCTGGATGCCACTGCAAGTACTGAGAAAAGATCTAACTGGATAGTCAAGCCAGATGCCAAGCAGAACTGGACATCAGAGATGGAAAGGATCTTTGAAACTACACAATACAAATGGTTCCAGAACAGCAGTGAAGCTGTTCTGCTCAGACAGGTCAGGACCCATAGTTCCATCTCCAGCATTCAATGTGCTTCAGGTTCATTGTCCCCACTCAAAATGGAACATCAACTCATGGGAGTTTTTCAAGTGGGTGTCTGAACGTACTGCTCCTGGCAATCCTGCATTAGTCCACCCTCTTCACATCCACATTCTTTGCAGGCCTGGACTCCTTCCCCAGAGCCACTCAAGGGAATCACCAGTATCAGCAGCAAAGTTTTACTTCCTTTGAATTCTCCTTGCAAATTAATCACAACAAGTTTTAAGAGGCCATGAAAATATACCAATTTCAAACACTGTTTTAAGCATAAGGAAAAAGTCTCCTGGTATTGGAAATATTAATAACTATGAATGCAATTAGTCCAACTTCAAGGCTCTGATCTGAGATGCACCTCTCTCTCTTTCTGTCTCCAAGAAGTTTGGCCATACCTGTGACACACACATGAGTTGAGAAGAACCTTTGTATGATACTTGGGAGCCAAACCCTACACCTCAACCTTGGAAACCAACAGGCAGGCATCTATGAAAAGCAGCTCTGGCCTCAGGCACCCCAGCAGACTGAGGAAGTCAGATGGCAAGGTGTTCAAGTGGGGCTGAAGAGTCAGAAGTTGGATATAATGCAGTCCACTGTGGGCTGCTTCCTGTCCCACAGCACTGTGTGCATAGAAGAGACACAGGCAAGACCACATCTCCAACAAAACTGCAAGCTGCCCAGAGCCAGTTCATGGCTTAGAGCAACCACAACCCCTATTCTCACTCCATAAGAAATGGTACAGGAAGGGTTTTGCTACAGCTACTCAGCTATGTTTGTTTATACCTCAACACTTCAGGAAATACAACCAGTAAAAGTCATCGCCTCTAAAAAAATTTGAGCACTTCTGACAAGCACCCATGCTAAAAGGAAAGTACTGATACAACTAATATCTCTGCTTTTTCAGGTCTGAGATCATGAGAACCCTCCTTCTCAAGCCTGCTGCTGCTGTCTTTATGAGGATCCCCCCATAAGCTCTTCCTTCTGCCAGGCTGAACACACTTTCCCTGGCTTCTGCACAACTGGCTTCCCACTTCTCTGATAACACTGGCAGCCTTCGTTTGCACTTGTTTTATTCAACATCATGCCAGAGTACAGAGGTTAGAGCCACACACAGGATTCCAGGTCTGGCTCATGTTCATCTTGTGCAACAGTCTAGATGTTTTCCTCTCTTTACAGAAAATACATGACTCAATGTACCCTTTCTTTTTTCATCCATGGCCGTGTGATGACTGAATTGAGGGCAATTCATGCACCCTGCTTTTTCCCCTCCTCTTCCTGTTCCCGCTACCCCAGCTCTCAGGGATAACCATCTCACTCTCCTTCCCTGTGGTGACAGAGGGTTCCAGCATAATGCCATCAGGACAAGATGCTAATGTTAAGTGGGAGTACGTAACCTCCCCAACACAGTATTTCATTTTGCCAAGACAATCCACCCTTCCTTCCTCTTTCATCTCTCTTATGCCATTATGATGACCCACACAGTGTCCAAGCAAATTCTGAACTGAAACCTTAACAAAAACACAGTTCTATCACTTTCCTTGTCTATAATTCTAATTATACAACATGCATCCTATTCATCCTCATGCTTAAAAATACATGTTTAGTCCTTGGCATAGCAGGATGTAGTGACCCAGTCTGTAGTGGCCTGGGTCACTTAATTTCCTGCATGTACGTCCAGGTACTGTATTTATCTTTCTCTGGTATTCAAATACTCCCAAATTCAGAACACTTCTGAGAACTTGCCTGCTCAGGGGCCTGTCACCACTTCTCTGAGCTTTGAGAAAGTGACTGTCTGCTCAATTTCCCCCAAACACACTTGAGAACATCTAGATCTTTCAGGGTGGTTTTCCACCTTCTGGAGTGTCATCGTTATCCACTGTGTCTTGCTGATTCTCATTAACTCCCACTCCTTTCCCAGATTGTAACCATATTTTTTTTGAGTCTGTCATGTAACTGTACATGAAGCTTACCCATCATGACCCTAGCATAAAGTTATCTGAGATATCTGCCTGTGCCTGAAGACAGCCTATAGGATCAGGTCAGAGGTGTGCACCCAGCACCTCATTCAACCTCGTAAGATAAAAACCACAAAAGCAAGGGATTAAACCCAAACATCAACTGAGTTAACTCACTGACTGTGATCACCTTAGGAAGCAAAATGCCCACCTAAGAGACTTACACCATATTTTAAAATACCTTCCCAGGACTAAGATGATCAACTCAGCTACCAGCACCACCAACAACTTGAAAGACTGGAAGATCATTAAAGGTTTTCAGCACAAAATTCTACACACCAAAGAAAAACAAAAGTTAAAGAACTTCTTCAAATAGCAGTTTAAAAAGCCTCTATGCTGAACTATACAAGGCAGTTATCATAAACTAGCCTAGTTGTTTTCAGACTTAATTTAGCAAAATTTCCCCTCTTAAACCATATTTCAAATTGCCTTTAAAATGTATGCCAAGTGGCTACTTGCTCTCTCAAGTGACTAATGAGCATGATGCTTTCCATAAACATTTGCCTGTAGAGAGACGGTAAAAGACAAGAGTGCACTGATTTCTTGATGGCCCTTGGACAGCAGTAACTCTTCGTCACTGATATACAAGTCCAGCAAGCAGGAGCAAAGCCATACTTGAACCACCATGTCAACTGCTAACACAGTCTCATTTTCTTTCGACTTAGAATGAAACCCCAACTGCCTTTGACATAGGATGCCCAGCAAGGCCGGAACAAATGGACTCAAAGACAATGCAAAGGGCACTTACACAACCGGTTGGGGTTAATATGTTGTTTCAGGAGATCAATGGAGCCGAGGCTGACGACAAGACGCCTTCCAAACCAGAAAGAGACCAGTGGGCCATATTTCTCATGAAGGTTCACCAGAAACTCATGTAAACTCCTGCTGGCAATGATATCTGGCAGATTGCCATCCCTGAGGAACATAGAGGATATCTGGTTATGAACAGCATCCTCTGCCAATGCTGAACTTGATCAATGTGGAGATGGAAGTGACTTACTTTTCATCCGTTGGAGCCAGCCCAGGGATACCTGATGCTTGCCTAGATGCCTAGAGTAAACGAAATGCATCAGTCTATGGGAAACTTCAGATTTTATACAAGCCCCACAGCTTTTCAGCAGGAGAGATGGATTTTCCACACACACACTGCTGCACTACTTACAAACATTAAACAAAAGCTGGATATGCTATATCTGCAGGCTTCAGACCTGCTAAGCCGATAAACTGCAAGCGTGTGCGTGGTCCCACTGGCTAAACCAGGATTATTCATCTGTTTAGATGAAAGATGTCTGTGTAAAGATTTAAACGGTCAGGTTTGCAGTGTGGGATCTTACACACAGATTTTGCCCTGCAGACCTGCAAAACTGCACGGTGAGCAGACGACGCCTTTGGTAAGCGGATTCACTCCAGGGGCACGGAAAGCAGGAGGAGTGCCGCGGGGTGCGGTGCCGCGGGAACGCCCCGCACGGCAGGGAACGCTCCCGATGGCCCTGCCACGTCCCCGCCTGGGCCCGGGCCGCGGAGTACGGGCAGAGGGCACCGCCCGAGCCCGGGGCCGTGGGATGGAGATGTGGCGGGCACCGTGGGATGGGGCCGGGGCCTGCTCGGCCGCTCGCTCCCCGCCCGCTGCACCGGGGGCCGGGCCGTGCGCCCCCCACCCCGCCGCCGGCAGCATTACCGGGTACAGGTAGAGCACGGCGCCCACCAGGATGAGCAGGAAAGTGACGGCGAAGATGGCGAAGTCCAGCATGGCCGGGCCGAGGCGGCGGCAGCGGTAGCGCCTCGGCTCCACCCCGGCGCCGCCGGCGGGGCAGGAAGGGGCGGACCGGGCTGGGCCGGGCAGGGCAGGGAGCACGGCTCGGCTCGGCAGGGGCGGCATGGGGGGCCCGCGGCGCCTGCTGCTGGTGTCTAACTCCACCCTGCACGGAGGGGGTACCTGGGCCACTGCCAGCAGCACATCCAGAGCTTCCTCGGGCAGTAAGCGCTGTGGGGGCTGCGGGAGCCCTCCCGGCCCCAGCCCCCGCCGCGCCGACCGCTCTCTCCCCTCTTTCCTGCCAGGAAGGTGAAGCGGGTGCTGTTCATTCCCTACGCCCTGCACGACCGCGACGCCTACGCCCGGACCGCCAGGGAGAAGTTTGAGAGCCTGGGTGGGTAAGGCCGGCCCGGCTGCCCGCGGCTCCCGCAGCCCCGGCCGTGTGCGGGGATGGGGCGCTGGGACCCCGGGCCGGCAGCGCTGCAGGGTCGGTAGCGCTGCAGGGTCGGTGCTGCCCGGCCCGAACGGGCGCAGCGCTGCAGAGGGGCCTGGCTCGGCTGCTGCGTTACAGTGGGTCAGCAATGGAAGTGAGAGCAGCAGGAGCCGTCTCCAGACTTCTGCCTAGAAGTAGATGCTTTAGAGGCCTCCAGAAGAAATCCTGCTGCAACACCTCTACCCACTTCAGGGAGGAAGATTTTATTCCTAAATACTAAGTTTAATCACATGAGGGAACATTTCTTCCCGTATGTGCTCAAGGTGTGCAACCACTGGTATGAAGACCATTTCTATAAAGAACTTGCACCAGCCAGATAGTTCCTCAATGAACAGCAAGATAGCTTTGCTTGGAGCAAAGATCTTTGCAGAGCAGCCTACAGCAACACCTCCACCCAATATCTATCACTGTTGAGGGTAACTTTGGACCTGTTAGTGTAGTAATAATCAGTACTCGCCTCCCTGGGCAGCAGACTTTGCTCTTTGATTTGCAAAAAGATTGCTGCTCTCAAATGTCCGTGTTCTTCTGGCTCTCCTGATGCTTCCTGTACTCAGTGAACCCCAGCAAGGCAAATCTGTGAAAGCCATTTCAACAGAAACCACACTCAGATTAGATATTTGCACAAGTAATGATAGACCAATGACAGCACATCCTATCAGACTTCAGCACAGCCAAGTTCAAGACTGACAGCTTTTTCCTTATTTTTTAGTTACCTGGTAACATTGTGCCTCAGCCTGCACCTGCTGAGTGAAATGCTCTGCTCTTAGACACTGAACACATATATCCACAAAACAAACATTTCCTTTGGTATAGCTGGATGCAGAAGCCCTGGAGTAATGTAGGACACACACTCTGTTTTATGTTATAGAGTTCTCAGAAATTTCCCTGGTTATCTGGCAAAAAATTTGGCTCAGGGTGGGGGGCAGGGGGTGGGCAGAGAGAGATTGAACATACCACATTCTTCCACCAGACTGAAGTGGCAAAGGCAGATACTTTTTCATTTAAGGTTATGGGCTGGACAGCATTCACGAATCTTGTGACCCAGTAGAAGCTGTAAGGAAATCTGAAGCAATCTTTATTGGTAAGTTTTACTTCTCACTTCCCATTGATGGTTTATGTAGGGCACTTGAATAGTCCTGCTCAGAACTGGCACTATAGACCAACAATTAAAAAGTTGGGCCTAGAAATCATTAGAAACTACAGAAAACAGTACTTTAATTGGGAGACTGAAGACCCTAAATTTAGTGGTAGGCAGGGAAGTAGGAGAGATTTATTAATGGATCTTCCATAAGTTTCAAGTTATTAATTTGAACAGTACTTCAGTGTAAAAACATGATCATCACAGCTGTATCATCACTTTATCAAGCCTAAGAAGATCTAGTCCAAATACCATGCTCCTGGTATTAGAACAGTCAAACAGCCAGTGTCAGTCTTACAAGAAGGACTCAGGGTATGAGCCCATGGCCTGCCCAATGACTGTTCTTGCAAAGATTCTGGTTTTACTGCTGCTCAAAGCAGGATAGTACCATGAATAGAGCAGAGAACTCATTGAGCCTGCCAAGTTCGTAAAGGCTTTAATTAAAACTGGTGGTGAAAGCATGTTAAATAAGCTGGACTTTCTTTCTGCAGGAGGTGGGAACACATTCCGTCTCCTGAAAGCTCTTTATGACAACAGTCTGATACACGAGATCAGGAAAAGAGTTCTTGAGGTAAAACTACAGGACTCTGGTCAAGTCTAAATGGCAGGATTTCATGCATAAGCTTTTGTTTAGACAAATCTAAATTGATTCTACATCTTTGTTTCTAATATACTTCAAATGTTGAGCAATCTCAGGCAATCTGATGAACTGAAAACTGTGGCCATATAAACCTGCCATTAAGTCATTGAAATGACTAAGGTCAGCAGTCTGTCTTTCTACAACAGTTTCCTAGATGTGGGACTGCAAGACCTTGAGATGTACAATGCTGTGAACCTTAGAAATAAGTCTCTCAACTTGAAATGAAGAGAGTCAAATGAATCAATGAAGAACAGTGCAGGACTTAGTCTATGTCCAGAAACCCTGTTTTTCAGTTTGAGATGTCCACTTTGTGTCTTTTTGACAGATGTGTTCACATTACAGCTTGTCTGCTAATAAACTAGTGATAAAGTTGGATCCATACATGCCTTTTAGGCAGTGTTCTGTTCATGTTGAAAATTACATAATTACTTTGCATATCTCCTTGGAATTGAGAGGTGTGAGTGCCACTGAGCCCTTCTGCTCAGCAGCCCAGTTCCGGCTTGTGAATCTTGTAAGGCACAGTAAAGATACACCATCTCTGGAGGAGAACAGAAGATAGGTGTTGCACTAGCAATGTGGAGCTGCAAATGACTTTAGACAGATTTATGTAAGCCCAGTAAGGCCAGCTGCCAAGAAGAAAGGTTAGCTAGGCTTGTCTTAATATATAGAAATTTAATGTCTGTTGTGGGCAGAAAATCCATAAAATGTTCAAATACCAGTGAAATCTGGATAATTATTTGGTTATATTAACACCAGCTCTCTCAAGATAGCTTATTTTTACTAATGTTTATTACCTGTGAACTTGCATGCTTGAATGGCATTCTTCCATGTACAGCTCAGTATTCAGTACTAATACCTAAACAATGCTAAACTGGTCATGCTACTTGTAAGCTGATGCTGTGATAACATTATATTAACTTCAGATGGACTACTCTCTTCAGAAACTAGTTAAAAGCTAGTTCAGGTAATTCCTGTAACTGCAACGTAGACAAGTCTCACCTCTCTTAATAGCGAAGTCCAGGATAAGCACTGACAACCTTCTAAGTTCTCTCTTGTGATGGGGTCACAGAGCTGTGAGTGCAGGACGTGCAGCAGCTAATTCTCTGACACTGACAAGCTATTGTTCGCCTCAGAACCCGAATCTTATTCTTCTGCTTGTCACCTGTAAAGTTAGCAGTGAGATGAGCTAGAAGAACTAAGTCTGATCTGATTGCTGAGTCTGAGACTGACAGAAGATGCTATAAAATGCAGTTCCTAGTTGTGATACAGCATACTGATCATTGCTTTTGTCTTTCAGGATGGGATTCCTTACATGGGATCCAGTGCAGGAACTAACGTTGCTACCATCAGCATCAACACCACCAATGACATGCCAATTGTTTATCCACCTTCCCTGCAGGCCCTAGGTTTAGTTCCTTTTAATATTAATCCCCACTACCTGGACCCAGATGTGAAAAGCACTCACATGGGTGTAAGTAATGCATGCCAGAGCTAACACAGTAACCAGGGTGCAGAGGTGTAACCACAGTGTGCATTTGTGAGGCCTTACAAAGCTACAGAATGTCAAACATCTGCACCCTAGAGAAACTGGAAATGCCAGTGAGGCAGTAACACTTCATTCTAAACTTTTCTTTGCGTGGGAAGAGGAGTTGGCAACAGTATTACTGAAGTGGAATGAAGTATTTTTCACAAACAGAAGCTTTGCAACGCCTGAAATACTGTTGCTTGAGACCTGGCACGGAATGGGGGAATTAAAAAAAAAAAGAAAAAGATAAACCTAAAATGTTAAGATGCAATGCACTGTGATTTTGGAGGGTCTGAAGAAAAACCATCAGAACAGGGAGATCCTGAGATTGCATACAGTCTATGGTGTAAGAAAATACCTAGGCACTGGTGTCCTTGCAGGGAGCACACCCTCTAATGTCCAGTACTGAGCAGGCACATGCACTAATATAGCTGAAAGAAAAACACTTAAGCCATCAAGCACAAAGAGATGTGTATGGAGGAGCTGCTTCTTGAATAGCATGTCAGCTACTTCCCTGGAGAACAGTTTTTGTGGTGCATCTTTTAACAACCCAAATACATTCCTCCTTGTAATCAAAATGTCATGGTTAGAGGAAGTATTAAGAATTTGGGAACTATGTAGAGATGGTGGACATGGGTGTGCTTCTAGAGTTTAGCTGAAGTTGTAGGTATTCATTGAATCAGCCGGTATTAGATAAGCAGGCAGTCTTCTCCCTATAAATAACTTTTGCTATTTCTCTAAGAGGAGGCTGGAAGCTCTGTGCTGTACCAAGTCCCTGCTGTGTTCCTGTGTTTCCTTACCCATAAATCCTTCTGGTTTGATTTCTTTAACTACTGTTGCTCAGTTCAGCACCAAACCTCAGGAAACATGGTAGAAGGAAAATTCTTCAGTGTAATACCTACTTGAAGACAAGCAAATATTTAATATCACTGGAAATCCATGGTTCACTACCCTCTTTCATGAAAATGGCTCCTCAGGCATTTGCTTCCACCACTTTCCTCAGTGTACGCAGAGACAGTAGTAAAAAACCAAAAAACAAAGAAACAAACAAAAAGGATGAATTGAGTGGAAATAAGTTTTAAGGCATTTCTGGTTTGAGATTGTGTGAGTTCTGTTTGATCAGCCTGCAGTAAATTGCCACTAGAGATGAAAGGTAAAATACACAGCTGTTAGAATCAATCTGCCACTCCATTCTGCTTGAGGGATAGAGTGCCTGCTTTGTTTAATGTTATGAAATTGCTTGGTGTCACGCTACTTGGATAACTCCAAGTCCTACCTTATGGCCTGGGAAACTAAATCTATGCTCATTATTGCAGGAAACAAGAGAGGAAAGAATCCGCCAATACCATGAAGAACCAAACACCCCTCCAGTACTGGTGAGTAGTAGTTCTCAGTCAGGAAGCTCATGGCTGTAGCATGATAAACATTTTAAATGCATTCATGCCAGCTTTCAGTGTGGGTTCCCCTGCCTGACAAGCCTTCCAGAACGGTGGCATGGAAGGTTAATTATATTCTTGCTAAGAGCTTCAACCTTGGATTTTGCTTGCTTGCAGAAAATGGGTTAGAGCAAATTAAATGCATACTCCATGTTATGTTGCTAAACACTATATTTCAGGCAGCTCTGATCTTCCCAGTCACTGGCCACTAGTCATATATTGCACACTGGGGTGGTGTGCATGCAGATGGTACAATACATATACAATATCTTTTTGCAGATCTCTAATCTCCAATACAGTTTCTGAATTTGCACATTCAGTAGAATATATGTCATTTCATTATGTCTGTCTAGGGAACTGGGACCTCTGTGTTTCCTGTCCCTGTGCTTGATCTTGGGAGTAAAACGTCTGTGTTTTAACAAACCCAGCTGGCTGTTGCTTGGCCCAAACTGGATCTAAGAATGGTGGGGTAGTAGAAGTAACTGTGGGGAAAAAACGCACTTTCCTCTTCTCCTTAATGGTTCCTCCTTTAAAAGTGAAAACTGAAATAAACAAGAAAATCAGCTTCTAAAACAAGATTACTCACTAAATTTTGTCTTTGCATCTTTGTTAGGTAAGCGAGAAAGTCTAGTCTGTAGTCATGGTGAGATGCACTAAGACTGGCCTGCTTGTGACAAGCATTCTACCCTGTCAAATAGCTCGAAAATCATGTTAAATGTTTCCACCTACATTAGGGCTTGCGGGAAGGTGCGATGCTGCTAGTGGAAGGAGACAAAGCCACGCTGCAAGGATTGACAGGAGCACGTCTGTTTTTGAGGTAAATGCTTCATTTGAATTGTTATCATCCTTCAGATAGAAAGGAAGAGAAGCTTTTGTTAGATTCCTGGTACATGCTGCCTGTCCCCCACATCAGAAATTACTTAATCCCTCGGTTCCATTTTTCTTTGGGGAAAACATGAGTAGTTTTATGCTCCAAAGGAGCAGACAGTATGACAGCACTCTAAAGGAAGTCTAACTTACACAGTTAAGTGCTGTGGCATTGCATCCATTGATGCTTATGCTTCCAAGTTCTAGTTACCCTTCACAGAAAGAGCCCCAGTAGTCAGCTCTGTTACTGAAAGCCAGGGGAACGCCAGTTTGGTCCTAATGCATGGAACTCCAGAACAAGGAAACCCATGTCTTTATTCATATGAACATTAGTAATGTTCAAATCTAATATGTATGTGCTATGATGTGGGCAAGGAAGGGAGTCAAAACTCTGCTTGTTAAGAATAAGGGTGCCTGGTTCCATCCCTAGTAACAGATGGAAGCACAGTAGTCCCAGCTCCTGTTAAAGCTCACAGCATGGTTTGTCTTGTTTAAGGGGTAAGAAACCAACTGAACATGAGCCTGGAACAGATTTCAGTTTCCTCCTGACTGACAGTAATCCCCCGAATCTGTAGCCTTCCATTTCCTGCAGCACAAATTACTACATGGAGAAGACAATGAGGAAGAAGGAAAGAGATGCTTTTAAGTCCCAGGGTGGGTGAGGAACCTCATCTCTATTTATAAATATGTATAGTGGGCTTTTTTCCTCACCCTGATTCATGTCCTGGACATCTCCTTCCCAGCAAAAAGACATTTTTTATTGCAATACTTGAGTAATCAGAGCTATTTGAAGTCTGAAAGGGTCTGTACATTCATGTATCCAGTTTGATTCCTTCCCCACCGAAAAAAAAAGGTAGTTTAACACAAGACAGGACAGCGAGTCAGCTGTTCCTGCTGCATAGATTTACCTGCTAAATGAAAGAACTGTTCCTTCAGTGTACTTCCACACTTCATTTCATTTTTGTGCTATTAATAAATGGAGAAGTTATGCATTCAATTACTTTTATTTGCTTCAGACTCATGTTAAATATATACAATGCTAATTATGTACAAAAGTGTGCATGTTAAAAATTGTCAGGTTACAAACTTGCAAATCCTAGAAAAGTGCAAAATTTTAAAACATCTTCCACCATGCTGTACAGGAAAAAAATCCATCATTAGCCAATATACACACTCTCAAAACAAAGTAAGACATACAGTATACACTTAAAGCACCCAGAGGGAAAAAGATATTGCACAGAAGACTGACAGCAAGTTCATTACAGTGCCTGAAGGCTCATTTTTGAAAGTGGCTATTTCCAACACTCCTCAGACCTAACATTAACTCTTTAGAAAGGCATTTTTTGGCATTTAAAAATCCATTTGTAATCACATAATTGCACAGTCTGTAAGAATTATCAGAAGATATGGTTAACTGTTGCTGTAAGGCCTTTGCTTCCACTCCCTCATTAGCTTTAGTAAAAATTCATCAGGCAAACTGAGTAGCATCACAGTTTCCATCAAAACGCTGACCAAAGGGAGGTAAGTCTTACACATAGCATTTCTCTGAGCTTATATCAAGCTGCTCCTGCATAGTAAAGGTTTGAATCAGAATACTTATTGCAAGTTTTCCTTGAATTCTTTTTTCCCCTCATGGCTTTCTTTAAGCGACAGCTCACAGCTGCGCATGACTAAAGCAGTACTGTCAGGTGCAAGACTTAAATTTATTTTAAAAAGTTATTTCAAGGCAAAAAATATGGCTCCCTTGAGAGGAAAATACTGACTAGATAGGAAGCTAAATAAACAAGTGGCCTCAGGTTCAGTTAGATCTGTGATGTACATGGCTGGAAGTTTTATATTCCAATCTCAAAACATCTTAGCAGCTTTAAACCATAATCTACACTGATAATCATGCTTCTGGGACAGAAGATGCGTTATGAAATTGTGTCTGTGCTGAGTATAATCACAGACAAAGTCTGGACATACCTGCCAAATTTTCCAAGTCAAAACTAGGCATAACACACAACTGAAGGAACCCTATTGAAAAGAATTGAAACACGTATTTTATCTGAGCCATGTAGGTAAATGGTAACTGAAAGAAAGACATACCAGTCTTCTTCCACAGATACACAGCAAAAAGGTGAATTAAAACAAAACAAAGGGCAGTTCCTCACATATGGGGTGGGGTGTTCAAGACTGCAGTAAGGTCGATGGCACTCGACTGAAACTGCAGAGCATGTTATGGTGCCACTCAGAGGCATTTCTGCATTTAGGCATCTAATGACTACAGTAGTGAAGAAGGGGACAATAGCATTTTATCAATTTTTAAATGTTTTTCTTTAATTGCAATAGCTTTTTAGAAAACCCTTGCTTCCTTCAAAAGTATGTGTTAACAAGGGCAATTAGTAATAAGATTGGCTCCTTGGGATGGAGGGAAAGACATATTCCAAACGCTTCAGTTGACTCTAACATTGGCATCCAATGAGCCCACATACATGTGATTCCACAAAAACTTACTCTCCCCCAAAGGAGACTACTAACAAGTGTCACGTTTACAACTGAAACTGAAATAGCTTTTAAGCCAAAAAGCATAAAAAGACCTAGAAGCACATTCTTGAATTTCCACCCAATTAAATATAACCCTATGTAGTGCTTTCATATAACAGCATTAGATCAGGCCTTAGGTTCACATTAGGATATGCATTTATATGTGTGTGCTTCTTCTTTTTTTAACTCTTTGAAAGGAAAAAAAGGAAAATATTCACAGCACGTAGGCTCAGCATTATCCTAGCCAGCAAGGTGCCTTTAGCAGTGGAAGACAGGAATGCTTTCAGGTGATACAGAGCACATACCTACACAGACTCTCAATGTAGGAGCAGAAGGATGTCGACGTTTCTACACCCCTTCTAGCTCTAAAGCTCTCTACCATTCCATAATCTGTATATAGATACATGTTTTCAGCTAAATACATGTACACAGTAAAAGCTTTGTGCAGCATTTGGTTCCATGACTTATATTTTCTAAGGATTTTGTTAATTAAGATTGGGAAGGACTTGCAGAGGAAACAGGGAGGAGGGAGACATGATTTAGGGAAGTGAGGTATACAGCTCCCATTGACTAAGGCAAGAGTTAAAAGACCTACCTAATATTGTGCATTACAGATAAAAATAAATTTATCATTCCTGCAGGACTGTCTTAAAGCAGAACAATGTTACTAGTCCCATATAGAATTTTTCCAGTGCAGAAACTTAGTTCTTTGCTTTCATTTAAAGGACAAAGAAATATAGCTTTCAAGAGGATCCTTATAAAACAGTCAATTGACTAGGCTATTTAAAGCCTGTGAAGACTGATAAACCTGTTTTGTGATAATATGCATGATCTAAGATATACCAGAGGGGGAAAAAAGCCTCTTTATATCACTGTTGCAGATTAGCAAAATAATTGTAATGTGGGTATAGGTTAATTTGGGTTTTTTGGGGGGAAGTTGTGAGGTTGTGGGTGTTTTGTTTGTTTTGTTGCTTTGGGGTTTTTTCTTTTTTTTTTCCCTTTCTCTTTAAATCCAACAGGCTTCCTAAAACCTAATTTCCATAATGTGTATTAACCATCAGGAGAAATGCAGTTAGTTTAACACTGAGATTATTATTTAGTGCTGGTAAGGTACATGGATGATAGAAGACGTGGTTTCTAGATATCCTATGAGCAAGTAATAGATAACAAGTACATTGATATAGAAAAACTTGCATAAGTCAAATGCTAAGTTGAAGAGCAAGCACTTCACTTTCTGTATGCTTGTATAGTACAAAATCAGCAAAGACTAGATGGGATTCTTCACTATATATAAAAAGACAACTAAAAATACTATCATGAATTATAAGTAAATTGATAAAGAGAAATTTAGCAAACATTTTACTTGAAATAAAGGAGAGATGTCTTCTAAATATCCTTTGGTATCCAAGCTCAAAACTGTGCTATGGAGAAGTTACTCAATACTGCTAACTACTTGATCTCATTTATGTACAGGTGTGAAAAGCGTGTCAGTTTTCAGTTTCTTTTAGATATATATATTTACACTCCTACTTACTCATCTTCAAAGGTAAGCACATCTTAAACGTTGATAAATAATTCGAGTTTCTCCAAAAATTAAAAACAGTATCACCAAGAAGATGGTGACAAATGTAGTGCTATGAAACAAATGTCACTTAAGACTTTTTTATTCTAAATTCTTAATTGGAATTCTCATCTCACAGCTGTACTTTTAACAGATAAATCTTTGTTCAAAACCAAAGAATAATCTTATTTCACCAATACTATATGACAAACAAAATGGGATCCTAAGCTTTATTGACTTGAAGAAATGGAAGAACTATGGAAGTCAGTTCACTAATTCACAGTGCACTGCATAACAGACTGCAAATCAACCGACCTAAACAACTGATCAGAACAATTATTTTCTATTTTTAAAAAATTATTTTCTACTTTTTATACAAATAAGTTAAAACCAAAAGAAACAACATGCCAGCTAATGCTCACACTTACGACTTTTATCTTTTACTTAAAGCTGGTTTTAGATAAAGGCAAAGTGCAAACCTTCAAACCTATGGAGGTCTCTCCAGAAGGCCTCTGGCAAGGACACCAAGTGTGTGATGGTGTATACCTCCCATCCCTCAAGGACCAGAGAAAAGATCAAAAGGCAATGGATGTTGCCACTCTTCCTAGAGCATAAAGCAGCTCAGAGCTCATCTGTCCCCCTCCTCATGCTGCAGCTGCTTTGTGCTGAACACAAACTAGCCTCAAGTTTGAGAGCCCAAGAACTGTCCACATTTAAACCTGTCCCATGTATTTGTGAAGATCACCCAATGCTTGTGATGCATTGATATGATGGTATTGAAATGTCAAAGGTCTTCATCATAAACTATTTCCTCCCCAATTATTGCAACATATTTTACTTAAACTGACACACTGTATTCAGTATTCTTTAATATTAAACTACTAAAAATGTCAATTCAACTATTGTATAAACATACCTAACCCACAGTAGGATGTTTTCAAACCCTTATGCAAACCTCTCTAAGCAAGTGCCAAAAAGAAAACTTCGCTCTCACCAAACACTAGGAAAGACCCATCTCCTCCATTTTTCCACTTTATTCTGCTAGCCCAAAACATCATCATTTCCTGACCCCTTCCCCTGCAAATAAACACTTGGCCTCATATATGCATTTAAACACAACATATATGCATACTTACAAAAACCATCATCTCAATGTCCCAACTCAGTTTTTCAATTTCCCATAACACAGAAAAATCTCACATTCTGAGCTGAAATTCCTCTAAACTACTCTCTAAAGAGCTCCCCTGCAATCCCTTCTTCATGAAATTATAATGGACAAACATACTTCACGTTCTCATGTACAAACTTTATACTTCCAGAGTATCCTCAGTATTCTTACTGGATAGGTAACTGATTAAAAATAGTATTTTTCAGTTCTCTATAGCTTATTTGAAAATATGGGATGTGGTTGTAAATTTTTTTTTTTACATACATGGAGTATGAAAAGAAACCACACCGCTCTACTTTTGGAAATTTAATCCTCTCTTGGCAAGTGACTCGGGAAAATAATTCTTACTTCCTCCTAACTTTCCAGACAATCCAGTCTGTCACAGTGATAGTTAGAATACTGCAACTATGCATAGACCCACTTGTTCACTAGTCTGATTTATTATTTCATTTACAAAAGTTAAGAAAAAGCAACACAACTTTCTTTACACAGTACACTAATCAGTCATTAAGAGGGATTTTTTTTCCAGTAAAGAAATTGAGGAGGAGAAATCAGTTTTAATGAGACTAATCGAAATTGTAAAGATTATCCTTTAGCAGGGTAAGGAGGTATTACTATTTCTACAAAGTTAATAAATATTGTGCTTAAAGTTAATGAAATGAGATTATACATTATGCAGTTCCTCAGGTAGTTAAACAACTCCCCAGCCACAGGGAATATCTGATAACATTTACAAGAGATA